CCTGGCTCCATCTTTGGACTTGACACTTGTGCCACCGTCATTTCCCTGCATGTGGGGTTTTGTTGGAAGCTCTTGTTGGCTGCTTTCCTGCTGGGGTCCAGAGAAATGCAGCCAGCAAACAGTCAGGGTTCATTGCCACTCGTGCTGCTTGGGGAGGGGGTCTTCTGGAGCCTCCTCCTAGGGTGGTGTGCCTCCAGTGCGCTGGGATGCTGTCGCTGGGGGACGTGACCAGGAGTTCTGGATGAGTCTGTTGGAGCTTATTGAGCAATACTTACAAGTAGATTCAAGATTGAATTGGAGGTGTGGTGAGCACTGGTGCCAACAAAGTCTTTAGGCTCTGCATATCCAGCTTTGGGGGTCAGATTGGAGATTTTGGTTCCTCTTTGAAATCCTTGCTGAGGCCACAAGTGGTGGGGGAGAGGCACCTTGGGTGCTGCGGTTTTGAGGTTTGGAGATACCCACCAAAGATGCTCATCAACTGCCTGGATCTGCTCCCTAGTTATCTCTCTTCCAGGAGTTGGAAGCCCACATTCCCAGGTCCTACTGTGAAAAACCAAAACTGTTGAGCATGTGGTGACTGAGCAGGTCAAGAGTGACAATATCAAAGCTCCCGAATGTTGGACTGAGCCATGCAGAGACTTGGGAGGTGTTGGCTGCAGCCTTGGGTCCGTGTTTTGTTTCCTGCCACCTGGCAGCTGAGAGTTTGTGACCAGTAATGAGCCCCCTCCCATTGACTTCTGTCGCTTATCTGTGTTTGCAGGAGTTCAAAGACCCTGCTAGGTGAGAAAAACGGGCCACTGCACTGCATAACTCGTTAACATGGGGATGCGCTGGAGGCCTTGCACCCTCGCAGATGCATCAGTGGTTTCACACTGACCACTGCAAGGTCCTTGCTGACGAACGGAGTGCAGCTCTGTGGATGCCCTATGCCAGCGTGGTTGTTCGCACCCTCTCTGTCCTTGTAGATGCACCACAAATATCTCTCTGCTGGTTGCTCTGCTCTGGGTTTTTGGCATCCCTGTTGGCTTTTATTGCTCAAAAATGCACAGTTCTTGCCTGGCTGATTATTGGAAGCAAACCAAAATACTCATAAATATGAGTGGGTGGTCTAGGGGTTGGCATCAAAATTAGTACAGTGTTTTTGTTTCTGTTGTGCCCTCTTCTCTTTCTCCCATTAGCTAATTGTTGCTGTGAAGTCCCCTTAAGCGGTGACTGATGTTAACGAAGCCGCGCTGGCACAGCTCTAAAATGGCAGGAGCTGCTTTGTGTGCATCTTCCCATGGCAGCACCCACTGACGTGCTTCCATTCACGTGGGACCCTGTCTCACCTTCGAGTGAGGGCTGTAACGAGGGGTAGGTTTTAATTACCCACCCAGAGCCCTTTCCCCGGGACTGGCATCGCGTGGCGCCATCGGCATCGCCCCCGGACTCTCGGTGGATTTGCTTTTTTCCCCATCGAGCAGCGCCTGTGCTGGCCGCCGCCCGGGCTTGGCTCCGTTCCACTTCTGTCCTCGGCGGTGGTGAAAGCACGTTCCTCGTGATGGGAAAGCCTCCGCGAGAAACACAAAGGGCTTTCATTAGGGGAGGCAGCGGCGGGCGGACGCGGACGGCCAGCGCCGGTACGGGGAAGCTTCACCCCACGTAACTCTTTCAAAGGGGGTGCTGGAGACATACAAGCTCCCTCCAGCAATGAGCATGTAGTGGCTGCGTTTGAGCTCACTAGCATTTAATCTTAGAGCCTACCCGGCAAGGAAACAAATTTTCCTTCTGCAAAGGGGATTTAGGGCCCAGAAGCGTTACGTGATTTGCTCAGGGGGGTGGCGTGTGTTGGAGCTGGAAGCCAGGAGGGTGCAGGGCTTGCTCTGGGGAGCCTTGCTAGCCGGAGATGCGAAAGCCGCTGCTCGAGGGTGTGAGTGCTGCCCAACGGCCCCGATGGCAGCGTCTCCCTTGGCTTCTGGCCCAGTGGAGGGAGCTGGGTGGCTGCTGAGGGCGAGGGAGGCCGGCAGAGCCGCCCCGCGGTGCCCAGGGCTGCCTCGGCTCCCCCCGGCCATCCTGCAGCCACCACCGGGTGAATCTCCTGACCTTGCTCGATAAAGCAGGAGGAGGAAAAGCTGTGGCACCGGGAGATAAGACACAGGCAGGGAGGGATGAATTCAGGGATTGATCTATCTGTCTCTTCCTCCAGCGTGGCTTTTGGCTTTTTTCAGATGTGACCCAGTGAGGCAGCTCTGTTCCTGCCCTTGCCCTTAGAGAGCCACCCTGGGCCTTTTTATTTTGCTCTTGAGCTTTGGGCAAGGGAGCAGGAGAGCTGCCTTGTCTCCCCACGGTTGCTAAACGAGGCTCTGTTTGTTCCAGTGCAGGGTGAAATATGAAATCCCATCAAGCCGCCTCGCTTATTAGAGAGATCTCAGCGAGCTGCTTATTATGCACCGTGGCATAATGCAGATTACGAATGTGACCGGGCGATAATTAGCAGAGCTGGAACTGTAATTAAACGCTCCTGTGCTGCGCTGTGGTTTCTGTCGCAAAGTGGAAGGAAGCTGAACGGTTTCAAAACCCGCAGGTTCTTCGGCGTGCACAGGCAGCCGCTGCTCCCAGGGCGGTGGGGGCCAGCGCTCCCCCTCACCGCCCGGGCTTTTGCTGCTGCCCACCAAAGTCAGGCGGCCCTGCCTGGTTCCTCTCTGCCTGTTTCATTGCTGGAGACCTGCCTCTGGTTTGCAAAACGTGGCGTTGAGGAGCGGTTTGTTTTCTTGAGCCCCTTCAAAGGAGCCTCACGCTTCCTTTGAGCATCTTTTTTTTTTTTTTTTTTCTTTCGGCCCTGTATCCACCAAGATGCACAGAGTGAGGTTGCTGTGTTTTGGGGGGGTGATTTGACTGTGGGAGTGCAGCCCTCCGCTCTTGGCAGGCTCATGGGTTTTTTTTAATGCAAAAGACACCCTTTTCACATCCAATGGGATGGAGCTGGGGCACTGGCCGTGGGGCAGCCTCAGAGGTGGGTGGCGATGGAGAGGTGGGGATGGGCTCCTATGGGAAAGCTGGTCCTGCCAGTGGGAGGTTGGAGGTGGTGCATGGGGAAAAGAGCTGTGGAGCATGAGTTGTGCTGCCAGCAGAGGGGAGCTTGTGATTCAGCCACTGCTGCTCGAGACCTCTGGGGCATCTTTAGTGCTCAGTGGGGTGGATGTGCTCTGACGAGCTGTCCAGAGAGAGGACAGATGCAGGAGGACAAGGAGAGGGCTGCAGGCATGCAGGCAGAACGTGCTTTGTGTTCTTCTGCTGGAAGAGCAAATCCACTTGCCCTGGCAGAACCAGATCTTGGAGTTCTTCACGGGGGGGGGGGGGGGGGGGGGTGTGTCATGTTAGTGTCCTTTGCTCACAACCACCCCGGCAGGAGCAGGCAGAAGCTGCTGAGTGAATGTGATGTCCTCTCTTTGCTCTTCTGCCTAGAGATTTGCCTCTTGAACCTTCTCCACTTGCAGGCGGTGTTTGTGTCACTGAGGATGCGGAGAGGCTTTGTGGAGTCATGAGTTGGTGGGGAGATGGGATGCTCCAGCCACTTGCTGTGGTTGTGGGCACCGTATTGCACGGGGCAGGTGAGGCTGGACGTGCAAGCTTCTGCTGGAGTTACTTATTTTGCTTAAAGGATGGAGGCGCGTGAGCAAGAGGGAGCAGATAATTTTGGCAGGTGGTCCAGACCAGGATGCTCGTTCAGGGTGGGAGTCTGACCGTGTGGTGGCTGTCACCAGCATCAGCTGAGGAGAGCGAGCAGCGAGGTTGGAAGTGGTCGTGGGCTGGTGTCCATGTCCACTCTTGGCGACCAGCACACTCGGCCTCTCCAGGGTTATAATCATCTCTCCTCAGCAGAGGCTTAGGAGGACATCTCTCAGTATAGCGCTGGATGCTGTAGGAGGGATCTTCCCCTGCTTGAAACTGAAACCCGGGTCAGTACTCGCTGCAGATCTCAGTAGTTTCCTCAGTCTGCTTCTCTTTTGAGGTTGCTCAGTATCTTATCAAGATCACAAATCATGAAGAGAGGGGGTCTGAGCAGAGGATGAGCAGCCGGCCCCAAAACTGCTGCAAATCCTTGTGCGCCAGGGTGAGGAGATGACTGATCTGCAGCTGGTTTGGCTGATGAACCCTGAAGGACAGGAAGGTCTCCACCCTACCCTTCCCCTGGCCAGCAGCAAAATCAGCCCGTCAGCCATCCTTCTCCTAACACTGCTGTAATCTGCTAGCGTGGCAGAGTGGCCAAGGACCTTGGCTTGTCAGCAGCAGGGTGACTTGGCCATGGTTTCTCTTGGTGTGTTGGCTTGTTGGCTTTCCAAGCCCGGCTCTGGCCGCGAGATGTGGTTTCCATGCGCAAGGAGAGCACGATGGCTGGCGCAGTCGGCTCGGCTGTCAGCCAGATCGGGCTCTGAAGCGGGTACTTGCACAGAGAAGAGGAATGTGATCTGTATGCTTCCATCTTCAGGTGGTCACAGGGTAGGTTTGGGAGGAGGAGGATGTTGGGTTTTATGGGTGCTGGAGGGGAGACCGCTGCTTGTTTGTCCTGTCCTGCCAGTTGAGCAGAAGCCTGTAATTTTTTTTCTTCTAAGAGCCATCAGGTCCAAAGTCATTGACTGTGTTAACATCTGAGCGATAGCCAAAAGGCATCCTCACCGGGGATGATTACACCTGCAAAAGCCGTCGGGGAAGGAACTTGGCACAAACTCTTTCGAGCAGGAGAGCAGATATCTCCTGCGGAGGAACCTTTGGGTGTGATCTATATGACTACCAAGTGCCGACTCATCAGGGTTATGTGGGTATGGGCACGCCGGGGTGGGAGAGACCTGCGAGATCCATGTCCTCTGATGGGGTGTGGGACTTGAACTGCCTGCTGGCACAGGCACTGAGAAGGTGGCAGCCCTGGGATTGAGGTTCTCCAGGAATGTTCGATGCCTGTTGATACCTGCTCTCCTTCCTGTATTCCTGACGGTGACTGGCATGTTTCTCCTGCCCCACAGATGGAGTCTCCCGTCTCTACGCCTGCGGTGTTGCCCTTACACCTCCTGGTCCCCGTTGTCAACAACGACATCTCGTCACCTTGTGAGCAGATCATGGTACGCACCCGCTCGGTGGGAGTGAACACCTGCGACGTGGCCCTGGCTACCGAGCCTGAGTGCCTGGGCCCCTGCGAGCCTGGGACCAGTGTGAACCTGGAGGGCATCGTCTGGCAAGAAACGGAGGACGGTAAGTGTCACCGGAGAGCTTTTTTACTCTCCTGCAGTGTCATTTTGGAGCAATTCCTTCTTTTCAGTGTTCCTGCTGTGTTGGTTGTTGGCACGCCCTGGGCTTTCCCCCCACCATCTGGGTGGTCAGGACAGAGGAGCTGTGTGGGAGCAGCCCTTAATCTGTCCAGCTAAGGGAGTAACAGGCCGAAACTCGAGTCAGCCCAACATGTTGTGGTAGCCCCTTGCCCAGACAGCGGATGAAAATCTAAGCTGCCATTTCTCTGCCTTTCTGCAAGAGCTAGCTTTTTCTGGAGGTGCCAGAGGAAAGGCTGTGCCAGCCTGCATGGGAACTCGACAGAGTTGACTTCGTTTCTGCTTGGCAACCCGCAGGTCTGTCACAAAAACGCTCAAACCCTGGGAGGCAGCAGAAATCTCCTGCTGGATTAAAAAACCCCAGCGGAGCTTTCAAAATCGACTCAGTGGGAGATCAGGCTCTCGTCTCTCTTGCCAAGCCAATCGAATCTTTTTTTTTTTTTCCGCTGGAGCTCGTCTCATCTGCACATAGCTTGGTTTGCTTTCCCAGGTCCTTTGATGGGTTTTCGTTGCTGTTGGGGCTCTGCCAAGTAATGCAGGGATGAATAGGTGGCTCAGTGGACCAGAGCGAGTGCTGGAACCTGGCCTTCCCTCCAGCCTTGTTGGGATGCTGGAGGTTTCTGCTTTGGGAGGCTTGTGGTGAGCTCCTCATATTTGGGTCTGGCTTCAGCTGGGGTCTGGAGGCAGAAACACAACCCAGAAGCACAGAGGTGAGAAGGAGCAGTGGTGGAGGAGGCTAGATGATGGTTCATCTCAGCTGGGTACCCAAGAGCTCTTCTTGGACCATCTGCTCCTGCTCTTCCATCGCCGTTGTACGCGGAGAACGAAGCTGTTGGCTTTTATCCCTGGGCCACTCCTCACTGCAACTGTCTTTATCTCCGATGGAAGCTGAACCGAAGCCTGCTTTCCCATGAGCTGCTACCAGGAGGGTTCCCATCTTGCCCCGTGCTTTGGGAAGATGGAGATGGGCCAAGTTTGCCTTTCCTCTCTCCCTACTGGGAAACTGGTTTTGAAACTGCTTGGCACAGGACTGAGTGCTGCGATGACCCCAATGTGGAAGTGGTAAGCACTGAAATTATTCCCATTGGGAAAAGCGTCATGACCCGAGCTATTCGGGAAGAGAGAAGTGTGTGGACCACGCTGTAGGACACTGGGACGTGCTAGCTTGGGATGGGCTCCACACTCCTCTGCCCCATCTGCTTCACTGTCTGTTCTGCATGGAAAAGCTTACACGGATTGAGGCAGCTGGGAGCTGTAAGTCCATTTTTTTTTTTTTTTTCTCTGCTGCTCCGAAGCACGCATTGTAAAATTGTGCCCAAAGATCCTCTTCTTCGAGCTAGGCTTGCTGGTGGGGACAGGGAAATACAAAGCAGGAGTGTTTAGGAGCCCTGCTCAGTGCACCTCAGGGCTGGGGGGTCTGCTCAGAGGAAGCATGTGGAAGGTTGTCTGCTGAGCTGCCAGCGCACTGGTACTGCCTGTTCGGTGTCTGCAAAGAGCCTGGTCGCTTTACAAGATGCAATACGTTCAGCTAGGGAAACTGAGGCACAGCCAGGCTGAGTGCTGGGACATGCAGCAGTGCAGAGGAGCATCAGCACTCCTCGCTTCTTGGGCTGCGTGCTAAGCCCCCCACCAGTGTGCCATTCTGGTGTGATTTCCCTCAAACCAAAAGCCCCAGCACTGCAGAGTTCACTGAAAACACCAGGACTGCTGGAGGTCCCTATGGACAGTGGCAAAGCTCATGAGAGCTTGGACCTTGTAGGGTTGTTTTGTGTTTTGGTTTTTTTTTGTTGTTGTTGTTTTTTTTCTTTTTTTGGCTGGAAATCAGGAGAAGCAGCTCATGGTGGGCAGAGGAGCCCACGTGGCTGTGCCTGGAGGAACGAACAGAGCATCCCTGAGGCAGAGAGTGCGAAAGCATTCCCCCCCCGCCCAGTTCCTGGTTGAGGCAGTGACGTGGGAGCGGTTTCTGGTCTCCCCTCCCTTTTTTTCCTCGCCCCACCATGAAGCTCTGCGGCCCATCTGCCTGTCTGTCTGCATTACCCCTCACTTCCACAGCCACCGTTTCGGAGCGTGCCTCGGAGGCGCCCTACGGTTTCCCACAGCCTGGCTATTTTTAGTCTGTGGTAATTCGATGAACTCACACAAAGATCCTTCTCCACCGGCTGCTGCTTGGTTGCCACCGTCGGGCGCAATGACTTTTACGGCCAGCCCTGCAGAAGACAAGCCCTGCTGTTGCCTTTGGTCGCTTCTGGTCCGCTGCGTGCGGTGGCTCCTGTCGTAGTGGCATCTCTCATTCTCGAGTGAAAAGTCAGGGTGAAACAGTCCCTATTTTCCTGCCTGGCATCTCTCTCCTGCCTTCCTGTTGTTAATGGTGAGGGTCAAGGGCAGTGTTGGAGGAGACGCTGGACCTGGCTGTCCAAAGCTGGAGCTTGTGAAATCTGTAGAGCTGCAGCGAGCATCTCCCCTTGCCCAAACGATACGGGGGAGAAAGCTACACTGAGGGCATGTCTGCAAAGCCGAATGAGGTGCTTCCAGCACGTGTGAGCACTCCTGTGTGCCTGGAGGCTATCCCCAAGATCTCCACAGGGATCTCGGCCCCCTGACCCAGAGGGTTCCACTGTCTCCCCCTGCTCCTTGTGAGGCCTGTCTGGACCGCTCGGAAAGACCCCAGGGCAACAGAAGCAGCTCTTGGCTTGCATCAAGCATCCTCTCCAGTGGTGGAGAGGAGCTTGCTGGCTCAACTGCAGCAGCTGCTTTCTCCCCAGGGGTGACATCCCAGAATCCCGGGGAGCAATTGGCACGGGGACATTCAAAATTACGGTTTCTCCTGTTTATGTCCCAGTTCCCTGAGCAGGATGCTGCAGGCACTTCTGGGTGTCCGTGAGCCCCGTGTCACTGGGCAGCGTCACGAGCGGTTCCCGCCGAGCCTCTCAGGAGATGGACATCTCTTCTCGGTGTCGTGATGCCTCCTTGAAAATTGGATTTGTGTCAGATGTGCCCCTTAGACTCCTGTAGTAATTGCTCTGATGTGGACCTTTCTTGCAAGCTGCTCTTCTCCCAGGCACACAGTAATGGCACATGCCCTTGCAGCTGGGGGCATCTCTGTTACTCTGCACACGCTGGCAAAAGTGTATTTGGGCTCAGGCAGTTGCTATTTAGCAGCTTGTTCACCCCGAAGAAGCCCATGGCTTGTTGGAAACGTCTGCCTGCCTCAAATGCCTCTGGAAGGGGTTGAATAGAAGAAGGCAACGTGGGTTTTCAGTCAGTTCACTTTTTGTAGACAATGGCTTTTGGGTTGGCCAGGGGGCTGCAAAATCAGGGAGAAAGGCTCCTAAAGCCAAAGCCCAGCAACACTGGAGCGACCTCAGAAGGACAAGCTGCAGCTGACCCATCTGAAATGGGAGCATGAAGCTCCGAGGAGCCCCACAATGTCCCTTCCTGCCTTGAACACCGGCTTTCGTCTTCTCCCCCCTCTAGAAAACCCACCGTAGGCATCCCGATGGGCTCCCGCCACCAATCATCTGGGTTTTGGTTCCACCGTTGCTCCGGGTTAGTGTTGGGCTGAGGTCTGGTCTTGCTGGTGGTGGGCACCGGTCGTACACGCTCTCCTCTGGCCGTGCCGGTGACACCGTCCTTTTGCCGAGCCTGTCTTGTACAGGGATGTGCTTTACTGAAGCGTCTTTGGTGGGGAGCAGCTGTCTTGGCAGTTCCCCTAATTCTGTTAGGTGTGATTTTGATCTGCAGGAACTATTAACTGATCTAATTACACCGGAAAGCATCGCTCTGTTTGCTGCCTTGTTATCTGCTGGGTCTCCTCCATCCCCCTCGGTGGAGCTGGTATCACCTGGCTCGGAGCATGTCACCGCCTCACCTTTGCTCGCAGCCAGCGGACCGGATCCTGGCACCACACTGGTGCTGTTTGCAGCCAAAACAAGCTGGCATCTGACGCGCAAAACCTCCGAGCGATGAGGATTGTGGTGTGGTAGCACCAGGGAAACAGCAGCAAACTCTCTGTGTGTCCCTTCCTCCAGCTCCAGTGGTGGGCTAGCAGCGGCAGGTCACCCGTGGCTGAGCTTTGCACACTCCCAGTGTTTGCACTGGCCTTTTGCAAACATCTTTTGGGGGTATAATGGAACGTGAGTGTCCTTGGGGTCTGCAGAGGCCAGCGTGGACATGTCCTTGCTTGGAGCAGGAGAGAGATGCAACAGATTGAGGGAAGATGGGGAAGGATTGGAAGGTGAGAGCAAAGACTGGAAGGTTTTACTATAACTGTGAGGAAGCCTGACCCCAGATTTGAAGGTTTTGCACATTGAACGTGCTGCTTCCCTGTTACCCACAGCTTTTAATTGTGTCTCTGGTTGCTTTTTGCCTCTGGGGATGTTTTAAAAGGGAGATGTGCCAAGATTGTACTGCTTGTGGATGGGCTTTGGGGCTTCAAAGGGGACTACACCATCCCCTACGTACACACTCCAGTCATCTTAGCTGTGTGTACTTGAACCCAGAAACAGGAGGTGAGTTTTTAAAGCTGATGCAGCCAGGGTGAGGAGCGGGAATACGGATTTCTCGTTTGCTTTAATGGCATTTCCCAAAGTAATGAGCAATTGTAAATCCCCTCTAAGGTTACTGAGCTGATACACAGGCTCAACACACTCCTCCAAAACCTCCTAAAGCTGTGACAACGTGGCTGTGACCGCTCACATCTTCAGAGCAGCGAATCCAGCAGCTTGCTCTGGGTTGGGAGCATCATCCGGTGCTGCTCGGTGACGGGGCATCTCATCTCTGGCACCACGAGGGTTGTTGGTATTTCAGGCTGCTGCCTCGCACCCTCCTCTTGTTTCACCAATGGATAGGGAGGCTGCAAACCCCCCAAGCGTGGTGGCTGCTTGTGTGTTGGCGTTGAGAAGCCAAGCTTTAATATGCATCGTTCCC